GCAAATTAAATATTTAGTTAACAAGCTAAATATTTAATTTGCAACCTAAATATTTAGGTAGCTAGCTAAATAGTTGTTTCAAACTAAAAAATTTTGCTCAAAACTAAATATTTAAGTCACGTTAAAAATTTAGCTTGTTGACTAAATATTTAATTTTGTAAGTTTAATATTTAGTTTATAAACTATGGCATATATAAATGTATGAATCATATGGTGAAAAACTGACTTTCAAAAATAAATCTGTTCTTTTTTTCTAAAAGACTAAATAAAACAAAAATATTGATGGTAATTTTTGACAGTGTAACTTTACAAACGGCAGCCCATAGATCCTCTCCAGGTTTCAGAATCACAATTTTCAAATTATTAAATGAAACAGAAACATGTTTGCTCTTCTGTGAGACAGCAGCATTTATAAGCAAAACATCCATGAACCCTTTTTTAAAGTAACACAACACACACACACACACACACATCTGTGTGCTTTCAGCTAAACTGCTCCCAAAATAATCATAACTTTTCATTCCATCAGAGGAACCAGTCAGTTTCTGTGAAGCTCTCATGCAGTTAAAGTTAACATCAGAGCCACAGTCGTCATCAAATTATATTAAACAACAACTCTGCTCACAGTAACTCCTCCTGTTAGCTGCCATAAACTGTCAATTCAATTAGGAAGCTAATTTATTGTAAGCATGGTCCAATAAAGCTACATTTTAATGTTAGTTAATTAATTAATTCCTCGTCAGCAGAATCAGTCATTTAACAGTTTAAGCTACAACCCTGATATTCAGCAGACCATCCTGGAACTGTTGCTGTAAAAACAAAAATATAAAAATCTAAAGAATTGAACAATAAACTGTGAACTTGTTATATTTTCACATTAATAATTCTTCATGTTCAGAGAGCTGAAACTCATGTGGCAACTTTTTGTATAAAAAACCCTGTAAATTTTGTATTATTTGTCTGTTTTTAACCCATTGTTCCCTGTTTGCATGTTCTGATTCTGGGTTGGGCTGAATAATCCGTGTTGATATTGTGCAATTTTTTCAAACTGTGTAAAGTTCTATTCTATGTAATATAATATTTTTCTATGACACCACTCTTCCAGACTGTGGGAGCAAAATAAAAACGAGTATAAAATGAGAAATCAAATGTATAATTTTGTTTTATGTCATTTTCTTCTTTTTTTTCTTGTCATTTTCTATGAAACAGAGTGTACTGCTATACTTCTCTTTTTGAGAAGGTCAAATAATAAAATGAAGACAAACAAAGTGTAGAAGCTTATGTTGCTCATTTGTTGTTGTTGTTTTAACCTTATTAGGACTTTTTCTGGTATAAACACCTTCTATTAGGATTAAACCTGGTCCTAATCTGGCATTGGTCTTTATGACATTCCAACAAGTAGAGTTTAATTAAAAGTTAAAACTAAAATTAAACTTGCTGGATTTGAGTTTTCACAGCAGCAAAGTTTCTGCCTCCATCTTCTGCCACTTATTAAACGTCAAACTTACAAAGACTCCTTTTCAAAGTCACTTTACTTTGTCATCTTGTCCTCAAACTGTTTTAAGGAAAGAGAAAAAGAAGTTGATCGGAGGAAACTTCTATTTTTGGAGCTGGCAGACGGTCAGTGGAAACTCTATTGTTTGCTTTAATTCACTGCTCTGCTGACTTTAAACAGACTCACATGACAGCATCAGTCAGGTTTCCACACAAATCTGTGCACTTTTCAGTTGTTTATGTTTGCAAAAACACCTCATGGATCAGTGAAAGTAATTATTATCTTTAAACATACAGTTCAATAAAGATTAGTTAAAATCTCAAGAGGACAGAGATGTTGGTGAAACCTAAACGTAGAATCAGTTTGAAGCAGCGGCCTGCTTCAATCCAAGGAATCAGATTATGGAATAATCTGGAGAGTGAGGTGAAAAATGTGTGAATGATCAAAGTTGGTCTGTTGAAAAAATATGAAATATTATAATGTGGATCTATACAAGTTGTTGCTCAAAAACCTATGTTTTGTTTTTATTTGTAGATTGTTGGAATTTATTTTTAAAAAGGGACAAATATAAGATTTTTTTTCTTCTTTCTGCTGCCTTTCATTTGTGATTTGTATTTTTATTGTGAGTGAGTGAGTGAGTGAGTGAGTGAGTGAGTGAGTGAGTGAGTGAGTGAGTGAGTGAGTGAGTGAGTGAGTGAGTGAGTGAGTGTGTGAGTTTGTGAGTAAGTCAATAAGTGAGTGAACTTATTAAGTATGTGAGTTAGTGTGTAAGTAAATATATTAGTGAGTAAATGAGTTAGTGAGTTAGTATGTAAACATGTGAGTAAGTGAGTTAGAGAGTGAGTTAATAAGTGATGAGTTAGTGAGTTAGTAAATATGTGAGTGAGTTAGTGAGTGAGTTAGTTAGTGTTTAAGTAAATATGTTAGTGACTAAATAAGGTATTATGTAATAAGTTAGTGAGTTAGTATGTAAATATGTGAGTGAGTGAGTTAGTGATGAGTTAGTGAGTTAGTAAATATGTGAGTGAGTGTTTAAGTAAGTAAATATGTTAGTGACTAAATGAGTTGGTATGTAATAAGTGAGTTAGTAAGTGATGAGTTGGTGTTAGTGAGTTAGTAAATATGTGAGTGTTAGTTATTGTGTGAGTTAGTGTGTAAGTGAGTTAGTAAGTGAGTGAGCGAGTTAGCAAGTATGTGAGTGAGTTAGTTAGTAAATGAGTGAGTGAGTGAGTTAGTAAATATGTTAGTGACTAAATGAGTTAGTATGTAAAAGTTAGAGAGTTAGTAAGTATGTAAATATGTGAGTAAATGAGTTAGTAAGTGTTGAGTTGGTGTTGAGTGAGTTAAATATGAGTTAGATATTGTTTGAGTTATTGTGTGAGTGAGTGAGTGAGTGAGTAAGAAAGTAAGTGTTTTAAGTGAGTTAGTAAGTCAATAAATGAGTGAACTTAAGTATGTGAGTTAGTGTGTAAGTAAATATGTTAGTGAGTAAATGAGTTAGTATGTAATAAGTTAGTGAGTTAGTAAGTGATGAGTTGGTGTGAGTGAGTTAGGTAGTGAGTGAGCGGGTTAGCAATTATGTAAGTATGTGAGTGAGTGAGTGAGTTAGTAAATATGTGAGTGAGTGAGTGAGTGAGTGAGTGAGTGAGTGAGTGAGTGAGTGAGTGAGTGAGTGAGTTAGTAAATATGTGAGTGAGTGAGTTGGTAAATATGTGAGTGAGTGAGTGTTTAAGTAAATATGTTAGTGACTAAATGAGTTAGTATGTAATAAGTTGGTGAGTTAGTAAGTGATGAGTTGGTGTTAGTGAGTGAGTTATTTAGTGAGTGAGTGAGTTAGTAAATATGTGAGTGAGTGAGTTGGTAAATATGTGAGTGAGTGAGTGTTTAAGTAAGTGAGTGAGTGAGTGAGTGAGTGAGTGAGTGAGTGAGTG